CAGCCTGGTCTACAAAGTGAGTTCCAGGAAAGGCGCAAAACAACACAGAGAAACCCTGTCTCGGGAAAAAAAAAAATCTGTTTCTGCAGCTCATCATTTAGCTAACCAAGGAGAATCTTTAGTTGTAATATATAACAAGAGGAAAGACTTCAATGAATTAGTCAAAAAAAATCACTAAGCAAATAGGAATATCAACAACCAACAATAGATGACAATTATAAACTCTAGGTACATTCATGAGAAATGAAAACATGACTATTAAATATGAATCTAAATGTTCAGAACAAAATTATTTACCAAAGCCACAAGACAGAAATATCCCAATGTCGTCAACACAACATAACGTATCTATACAGCATAATGTTTTTTAGACTAAAAACAATGTAGTATTGAAACTATATATGGAGATCGTAAGAACCAAAGGATCAGGGAGTTTGCTGTGAGATCAATCAATCAATCAATTATAATTTCATAAATAAAATAAGAGAAAGGTAGCTGGCATGGTGGCACACACCTTTAATCCTAGTACTCGGAAGGCAGAGGCAGGTGGATCTCTATGAGTTCAAGGCCAGCCTGGTCTACAAAGAGAGTTCCAGGATAGCCAGGGCTACACAGAAACCCTGTCTTTAAAAAACTACAGAGAGGTTTGGAGAAATGGCTCATTAGTTAAGAACACTAACTGCTCTCTCAGAGGACCCAGGTTCAATTCTCAGCACACATATGACAGTTCACAACTGTAACTCCAATTGCAGGGGATCACACACCCTCACACAAACATATATGCAGGCAAAATACTAAAGCACACAAAATGAAAATAAATCATTAAAAAAACAAAAGGAGAGAGAGGGAAAGGTAAATCAATAAAAACAATAGAGTACTGATAAATACTACACATGCAGGTATCTTGAAAGCATTATGCTAAATTAAAGACCATAGAGATCAAAGGTCACATGCTATAAAATGTTCATCAAAGACAGAAAGTAGATTACTGGCTGCCAGACACAGGGGACGAAACTAAAATTTTTTAAAGTGCCACCTAAGTTTTTATATATTCACTTATAAAAAGGTATTAGTAGTTCATGTGCCAGATACTGTTTTTAGGAGCTTCAATTACAACACACAAACACACACACACACACACACACACACACGACAGCCTTGTGTGCTTTTGCAAGTTCAAACCAGACAAAAGCCCAGCGTGGAGAAGAAAGGGGGGCATGAAGTCCCACCCCTATCTAAGAAGCTTTTGATGTCTGATAGCTCCTAGGAGAGAGTTAGTTTTCTTTATGGACTATGAGCCCTGGTACATCTAAGAGGCCCCACTGGATGATCACACAACCAAGACAGCAGTAATTGGACACGAAAGCTTAAAAAAAAAAAAAGAATGAGAGCATAAAGTTAAGTGGGGATGGAATAAGGGTTGTATCTGAGAGGAGATGTGGAAGAGAAATAAGTAGAATAAAATACATCAAAAGTATTAAATTCTCAAAGAAATAAAAACTGTTTTACAGACAGGGTCTTATTACATTGCTTATGCTAGCCTCAAGCTTACAATGACCCTGCCTCCCAATTGCCAAAAGTCACATGTAGGTCAGCACTCTTAGCCAAGTTTAAATTGGTTCCCAGAGCTGAAGACAGGTCCTTTGGGCTCGCTGGCTGGTAGTCCTAGCCTACTTGATGAGTTTCAGGCCTGAGAGACCTTTACTCAAAGGGAAAAAAAAGTGGATGCCACCTGAGTAACAACATGAAAGGTTGCCACACACATGGGCATACATGAGAATGTACATCTTCATACACAAATATACACATGCAAGATTAAGTTGAATATTTGAAGTTTCTAGTCTTCAATTGTTTTTAGACCTACAAAAATAGCAATTTCACATGGCTCAATTTGTAATTACCTTATCAATGATTTCACTACAAATAGAGAGTAATTAAAGAACAAATATGTTAAGTAATTATTATTAGTAACCAGAGAAACCAATATTCATATTCACAGTTAAGCTTCAGATCCACTGTTTTCAACAACAGTAATTTTAGTACTACTATTAATGCTGTAGTAGGTTTAAAGAAGCTGAAGGAACACAAATTTCAGAACACCAAGAGGACACATCTTTCCTGTTTACCACTGTATTTCTAGCACTCAACTTAAGACCTCACACAGAGCAGATGTTAAACACATATTGGAAGAAAAGCAAAAACAATTAAGTAAGCAAATAAGTAGAGAGATTTTTTTTCCTGAGATCTTTAGGAGATTGCTTAAGAGAATATTTTGTAGACAAGTTGAGCATCTTCAACCAGAAAATCCATACTCTTAATGCACCCAAATCTCAAATCTTTTAGGCATCGTGCTCTAAAACTTCTGAATTTTTAAGCATTTCTGGGTTTTGGATAAGGATGCTTAACTGGAAAAATCTATGCAAATATTCCAAAATCTGAAAAACATTGGAATTTGAAACATTTCTGAGCATGTCAAATAACTATGCTCAATTTCCATAATTGTAAGCCACTAATTGTCATAGTATATGAGATATATAAAGTACTATGAGAGAATTAAGGAGAAATAAATGTCACATAAATCATGTAACAATCTAGGATAGTAAAGAGAGCATTGGTTTTTAATTCAGCAAAGTTCTGAATTCCAATTTTCCACTTATAGGTAGCCCAGGCAGACCTCAAACTTGCTATGTAGCCAAAGATGACCCTCAACTTCTAATCCTTCTGCCTCACCTCCCAGTGCTGGATTGCAGATGTGCACCCCTACACCAAGTTTATGCAGTGCGAGGGACCAAACCCAGGACTCTGTGAATGCAGTGCAAGCAGTGTACCAACTAAGCTGGATCTACTGCCCTTGACAAACAGGATAATTCACCATTAAATATATGCCATATACAATGTATTTTAGTATGAAAATGCAATCCCTAATTTAAAGTAACTTAGAAGCAAATAGATAAATACACCATGACATAACCTAAGTTTCAATTTTATTGTAGTAAAATGAGAATTATAACACCTACCTATGAAAAACTCAGTGCAACAAAATGGGTTAGATATATAGCATAATGCTTGATGCTTACCGACTGTCAAAAAAATTAATTTTTATGCCTGTTGAAGTATACTTTATCAAATTAAGAATTCTCATATTGAAATATTGAACATAAAATAGTGAGAACTATAAATCTAAGTTATTAGTTTATGTGTAGAAATGTTGCCATTATTTTTGTCCTTTGGTTGTAAGCCTTAGCCTGTAATGGTTAACCCATCTCACCAGCCCAGAATACCACTATTTTATAGCACTTCCTATGGGTCAATTAACTGATTTTAGTAGATTTATTTACATTTTTCTCCTAAAGTCTATAAATATATTAACAATTATTTTGAAATAACAGAATTAATTCTGTTACTATTCTAAATTTACCAGTGCTTATATAAGCAAGTACAAGTATATTAGCATGTCTAATTTTTCTTCTGGGGAAAACCCAATCAGAAGAACTATTTATTCCAAAGAATTGTGAACACAGGTTTCCCCTCCCCCCACCCCCCGTTGGTTCATTTCCATAACTAAATGTGGCAGCAATTTTACAGCTCTCCATTCTTATGCACGAGGCCAGGAATGCTGAAGCAGGCCCGGGAAGGGAACAGGCTGTGGTTTGACCATGGAATGCCCCTACAAGTGCCTACAGTAGGACACTCCCAGCTAGTGCTGCTGCTCATGGAGGTTGTGGAATCCGTCCTGAGGCAGAGCTTCCCGTGACAAAGGACTGGGGGTAGGCCTCACAGCCCAGCACATCTCTGACTGCTCTGCTTCCTGACTTCAGACACAGTGTGACCAGCCACTTCAGGCTCCTGCAACCCTGCCTCCCTACAATGGATGACATCAATGGACGACATCTCTCCAAGCACTGAACCAAATTAAACCCTTCCTCCCTAAGGTGCTTCTTGCCAGGTTTTTAGTCACAGCAAGGAGGAAAGTGACATCTAAATGTGAAAAGAATCCAGTCCTTGCTTACAAGAGACCACAGCAGCCAGCATAAACCACCACCTCATCCACCCTTGGAATGTTCCACAGGATATATATGTCAAAATACATATTCCAGCTGTAGGGGAAAGGAAAAGGCTCTGAAAGATGTCAAAAGAATGTGCCTCTAAACAATCTTTGGAACCTTAGATAAAGACAAAAGCCCTCTGAAAACATACATAACATATAGAAGCATTACATCATCCCTGCAAAAAAAAAAAAAAACATGTAGAAGGCATTACTTCATTCCTCTAAAACCATATAACATGTAGAAACATTACATTGTTCCTCAAAAAACATACATAACACATAGAAACATTACATCATTCCTCGAAAAACATACATAACATGTACAAGGCATTACATCATTACATCATTCCCTGCCAGTGTGCTACTTAATTCCTCAACAATCAAGGGATTCTCCACAGTGAATCTACTAGTGGCTACTGGATCAAAAACTTAACAAAACTTATTTTCTTAACTATGCTAAGTAAGTAACCATTAAGTGAAGCTTGAAGAGACAAATCTCCATGTTGTCTCCTACTAGGATTCTAGCTTCTAAAGGACAGTGTGGTTAGAGGCTGGGAACTAGAAAGGGGCCATCGGATAGGAAATATGAGGCTTCAATGGAGAAAGGTGGGAATGGGAACCAGAAAAGGAGCAGGGGGGAGTTGGGGAGCAGAAGGGTACAGGGGGGACACGGAGAGAAGGGTACAGGGGGGGTATGGGGAGCAGAAGGGTATGGGGGAATGGCAGGGGATATGGGAAAGTGAGGGGAGGTGGAAATGCATGCATCTGAATTGAACATGTACAAACATGTTTCATGCATATTTCCTCAATACTATATTTATATAGCATTTTCATTGTATAAGAGACTATAAATAAAAAAGGTAAGTCAGTTTTACAGTGGTGGTAAGGATTCAAAAAAACCATATTCAACCATATCTAAAACACAAAGTTCTCCAATTTTCACATTGAAATATCTTCAGTTCCTTCTAAACTTCCACTTTCAGTAACAGTAGTAAAGTAGCAGGTGAATAGACTGGTTATTAAGACAATCTGTGCCCTGACAGTTATAATGCAGGAAAGGAGATATGCTGAGGAAGAGCAGATACAGTATGAGAATGCAGTAACAAGGCATGTGCTGAACAATCAGAAGCTCCTATACAGTGCGAGGGAACTACAAATGATTTCACAAAGCTCATGCCATGTGAGCAGAACATGAAAGATGACTGGAATGACAGCAGATCAGAAGATGCAGAAAAGAATCAGGATACAAAGCAATACAATAAAGGGTCGGAACCTAAGTCTAATGTGAAGGATGTGGTGGGGAAGGCAAGAAATGAGACTCTAGGAGACTGCATCCTTCTTATACAGGGCCTTAGATGCTTTACTACTTATGCTAATAAGCATAAAAGCAATGTAAAATATTTGAAGGATAAGTGACAATCAGGTCCACATAATAAGTTCAAATATTAAAAATTCCTTTTCTTTGAAACAGGGTCTTACATTGTAGCCCGTGCTGGCCTTGAACTTGAGATCCTCCTGCCTCATCCTTCTGGGTAGGTGCTGGGATTACAAGAATTTACCACACTCTTTGCCTAAAAATTCTCATAAAATAAAGTGTCACAAAGCATAGGAGAAGCAAATATTCTAGTATCACTGTTACTACAATGAGAAAATGTACAAAATAACAAAAACTATAATCACCGGATGTCTTTGATAGTCGCTCGCTTCAAGGGGTCCACCTGCAGCATGTGCATCAGCAGAGTGGCAACAGAACGGTTGAGATATTCCGGGATATAAAACACACCCCCTCGGATCTTCTTAAAGAGCGTAGGCACGTGCTCATCATCAAAGGGGAGGGTGCCACAGAGAAGGGCATACAGGATAACGCCACAGCTCCAGATATCAACCTCAGGACCCGCATACAGCCTGAGAAAGGAGAACACAAGCCTGAGTGTAGGTACCATTTCCCCTCATTGTTAGTATTCTGCTTGCATTCATGATAAAGCAAAACCAACTTGGTATATATTGCTATTTAAGGTCAATGAAATACATAGCAATTCCCAAACCTCAAAAATTACTCTTCATAGGAAATAACCAGCCTAATTAGCAACACAAACTTGCCAAAAGACTTATTTTTATTTGTTAAAAATTAATTATAAGTGCTAATTAAAATTTATTATACTTTCAGGCCAGGCATAATGGCACATGCCTTTAATCTCAGAATTTGAGAGGCAGAGGCAGGCAGATCTCCGTGAGTTTGAGGCTAGCCTGGTCTAGAGAGTCCCAAGCCATTCAGGGTAAGACTCTGTTCTCAAAAACAAACCAACAAACAAAATTTACACTTTCTCTTTTATTTCTTTAAGGAAACATCAAAGTAAATAACCACAAACTAGAAAAAAATACAATACATACAGTGTTTTCCCCCTCAGAACTATTTCTGATACATATATGATAGATATATATTTCTGATATTATATATATATATATATATATATATAATGCATATATAACAAAATTTTTGTTCCTACACCACATTTAAACAAAATTTGAGACATTAAAATACTTAACTGGTACTATATTGACAGTGTTTAACATTATCTTTCCTAAAAGGTTTATTTATTTTTAAATTTTATTTTTATGTGTCTGAGTGTGTTGACTGCATGTGTGTCTATGTAGTACTTGTGTGTCTGATACTTAGTCCAGAAGAGGCCAGCAGATTCTGTGGCATGGGAGTTGCAGGCAGCTGGGAGCCCTCATGTGAGTACTGAAATCAAGCACAGGTCCTCTGAAGAGCAGCAGGTGCCCTTAAGCACTGAGCTATCTGCCCGGCCCCGTATAACAGAGTCCCTACTGCTTTCTTTCAGAATCTCTTGCTAACTCAATGGACTAAGACAGTTTGGCTCTAGACAACCTTTGTCTGCACCACACACCTCTCACTATTTTTGTCTTCCCCTTCTACTGTCCTACCGTTCCCCAGGAGCACACTACCAAAACCAAACGTTGGTCTGAGGTAACAAATTTATACATTTCCAGTGGAAAGAACACGATCTGCTTCAATGGAATGCTGTCCCTACTTTACATCATCATCTGTATCACCCAAGCATCTTACAAAATACTTGTGTTCTCTAAAACTTATCAGCTGAATTCTAACCTCGAACTGATGGTATGAGGAAGTGAAGATTCTAAGGAGATCTGAGGTGGACTCTCATGAAGATCCATACCCTTATAAAAGACTACCCCAGAGAGATCCCATTCCCCTTTGAGCACACATGCTTAAAGTTACAAACAGTGGGCTGTGAGGAATAGGCTGTACACACACCAAATCGTTGTGGAGCTCCTGAGCCATGGGACAGACCACCATTGTTTATAAGGCATGCTGTACAGTGCTCTGGCGCATTACATCCAAGTGAACTAAGACTCTCACAATCTGCTACTTGCAGGCACCTTCTCAATACTTTCTCTCAAGCATCCTGTGAACTTTTAAAACCAGACACTAGCCACTGTAGAATGACTTTTCATCTCTGCAGCCTCTGTAAATATTTTATAATGTTCATTACCAATGAGCTAATTACATGAGGGACTTCAAAGTCACTCGTCTAGTTTAATTGCTTGAAATCATATTGTCACCCAAATTTCAGTCTTCCAAAGGCAAAATATAAAACAACTGCCTGAAGACTGCAAAATGTATGAAAATACTACTACTAAATAACTATGTCTGTTAAATAAAGACACTGGCTTAAACTTTAGTAAATCCTTACTGATACTGACATTTTCTACAATACAATATAGACGCTGCATCAGATCTGTCTCAGTCATGGTCAATGAACAAAATGCATGAACACATTACAATGCCTACATGGAGCTTTAAAAAAATGTACTGTTCTGCCTATAATAAAAAAATAAATGAACAATTTGTTTCTACTATGTTAAAAATCTTCTTCCAAAGGAAATTCAATGTTATTAGAATGGATGCAAGGTCACAAAATGCTCAATTATCACTACTAAACTCTTACCTTCCTGAGATGACCTCAGGTGCTGCATAGTTTGGCGATCCACAGCTAGTTCGTAGAAATTCGCCATCTGACATCATATTAGACAGTCCTAAAAATAAAAGCAATTTATCAGATGCTGAAAACTCTTAGCTGTTTCATGCTTCAGAAATCATATTCTTTATTTATTTTAAAGAATAAGGTGGGTGGCCAAGAGAGCTCAGTGGGCCAAGATGCTTGAGCAAAGTTGACAACCTGGGTTCACTTCCTGGGTCCTGCCCTGTCCCCCCCCCCCCCCCCCCCCCGCCCCCCCGCCACACACACGCACACTCAGCTCTCCAGTAACAGGAGGCACTGTTAGGCTAGAAAGAGGTTATTTTAGGGACCTATGCTGTCACACAGAAAGCAACAGAGCAGCACACGTGTGAGTGGAATGAAGCTCACTGCATGAAAATTTTGACTCTTCACAAAAAAGGTTCATTGAAATTATATCACTTTTTCAAAAATATAAGCACCAAATATTATCTACTTCTGTATACGAAGAAATAAAAAGGCTGCTAATTAAAACAAACAAAAAAAACAGTGCTTTTAAAAGTCTTTCTTAAAAGGTTGTAATTGGGCATTACATCTTTAATCCCAGCACTCAGGAGGCAGAGGCAGGTGGATCTCTGCAAGTTCGAGGTCAGCCTGGTCTACACAGGGAGTTCCAGGTCAGCCTGGTCTACACAGGGAGTTCCAGGACAGCCAGGGCTACATTTGGTTTTAACTGTAATTAGCAGAGCAGCTCCAGCTGATGAGTAGGCGGTTTCCCTGGAAACAGGGTCTCCTTGCCACTCAGGTGGGACTCAGTTCAAGCAGTCAGGAGGGCTGCCTGCTCCAACTTCCTGGGAAAGATTTATAATCTAGAGAGCTCCGAGGCAACATAGTAGAAATAATCCACTGAACCAAACTCTTCGCTGAACCACTCACTAGAAGAGTTTAGACGGCAACAGTGAAGCCAGTTTAAAGACAGGTACCAAACAAACCACAAAAACCTGAAACATGCAACACTGACTTTGGACCTCCCGTACCTCTCTTCTAAGGCTCACCTCATAATCTTCTCCTCAAACATCCACTGTGGAAGCCTTTTTGGGTCTGTTTAGTGTACAGAGTCTAAAAACGTACATTTTACCACCTTGTCTTTGACCCAGGACCATGTCCGTTCTCTCATAAGTGATTAGATATTGCCCTAAGATTAATAGGCCTTTCCATGATCAGTTCAGAAGGAGCACAAAGTTTTAGGTACAAGTACAACTTTTCACACCCTTGTTTATGTAAATCAGGGAAAGCATCCACTGCACCATCAAAATCTTCAAAGGAATTTAGGACTCCTTTCTCACCCTAGCCCCCCACCAAGAAAACAAAAAACAAAACCCCCCAAAACAAAACAAGTATCATTTCCTTAGGAGGAAAGGAATATTGACTGGATCTGTCTTGACGTGGCTTTCTAACATGTTCTAGAAACTTCGGCCTTTTTTGTGTGGATTTAAATAAACAGAATAAGCCAGTTTGGAGACTGTAATTAATCCCTTTCCATGTTATGGGATGTGTGTGGTGAATGAAGTTCGTAGCTCTCTAGGAGTAGTTACCGGTCCACAGTACAGTTAAAGGTACTACATACACAGCTCTGAGTAAACACGGCGTAGCATACCAAAGTCAGCTATCTTCGCGTTCATCTGAGCGTCCAGCAGCACATTCTCTGGTTTCAGGTCCCGGTGGACAACCATATGCCTGTGACAGTAATCCACAGCAGACAGAATCTGCTGAAAGAGGCGCCGAGCTTCCACCTCTTCAACCTAGCAGGCAGAAAATAAACCGCATCAAGACTATCTAGGACATCTATTGTGCATTTTAGTTTCATAACCAGCCTACATACAACTAAGCAGGCTAATTTAGAACTGACTAATTAAAAATTCAACAAGTCAGACAAAGCAAACCAGCCAAAACTTTATCAAAGCTCAAAATATTATTCGATAGGTTTTGCTTTGCTAAATGGCAATGATGTTTAATTTTCAACTAATATTGGATATACACAATGTTTTGAGGAATCAATAAAACCAACTAAAATAGAACTTATAAGAAAATGCTAAGAAAAGAAAATAATTGAAGCTTCAACATGAGTTTATACAGAACAGACTGTAAAAAGCATAAGAATCTTTTGGCGATCAAGTGGAATATAGTTTCCAAATCTGTCTCAAAAGGCATGATTCTCAGGAAAGAAAATATGTCCTGCATGTGTAGTTGACATTATTACAGAAATAACTGGAAGCACTGAAAATATCTTTGAGTTAGCTACTTCCCATGCTTTCCACTCTCTTAGCTTGGGGGTGGGAGTTGAATACTAGATGGTATGTCACTCACCCGCCCATGTTTACAGATGTAGTCAAATAATTCACCTCCAGACACATATTCCATGACCATAAAAAAGTCTGTTGGAGTGCTGATCACCTGGTAACTGTTTCACAAATAAGAAAGGGGGTTAATACAAAGTGGTGTTTCCACACTGATCAACCTCTTCCACTATTCTTGCTACAATTTCATATTCCAATAGTGTATAATACTCTAGGATGGCAACAGATTTACAATGTCAGCAAGCTAATGCCAGCACCATAGCAGGGAAGAACATTGCAAACGTACCCTACGTCCTGAGACTCATAGACTCCCCTTCAGATTTCTGTTATCTTTGAAGTCATTATAAACTATACTAAGAAAACACATCATGTGTAAATTAAACACATGAAAAATTGTCTGTAGAAATATTTTTCTTAGTTTTTTTTTTCTCCTTGAGATAGATGCTCATCATATAGAATCCAGGTTTACTCAAACTCATAATCTTCCCACCTCGGTTCCCACATTCTGGAATAACAAGTGTATACCACCATATCTGGCCTGGAAAAATACTTCTAATGGTAATCTTTAGTCTTCGAAGACACAAATAACAGGGTATCCCATTTCATGTAAAGCAAATGACTGTAACAGAAATAAAGTGAGACTATTTCACATGAACTGTGGAAAGTTCGTTTTATTTAGGAACTCTAAAAGAAATAGTTTGATAAAGGCTATTTTGACAGGCATTCAAGTGATCAAACTGAAGAGAGTAGGTGGAAACACCTACTGCTATCAACTCATTTTTCTGATCTGTGTTATTGTTACCAATACACTTGTGCTTATCCCTTCTGGATGAGGCATGAATGAGATGATGAAACTCAAATAATCTTAGCTGCTGATCCTTTGGAATATACCACAAGACTTCATAGGATACTTCTGGGTTGAATTAAATCGTGAAGCCTCTAACTCCACAGCATATGATATTACACACCAAAGGCCACCTTCCAAGTGTAAAAGGGGCAATTTGCTTGCACAGACATATTTACCTTGGCTTTACAACATACATCTCTCAGTTTGTAATTACATGTTTCATAATGATAATTTGATTAATGAATTTGCATCTGGCAAAGTACTTACAACAAACTATTTAAATTAATGTATAAATTACCATTTTAAAAAATGCTTGGCTCAGTACCAAAATAATCTGAAAGTTAAGGGGAGGCGCACAAAATTTCAACCAATAAAATTTCAATTAACAAAGAAAAACAATTTTTGAAAAAAGAAGAGTCCTAGGAAAACAGCTTCACATTAGGGAGTTGGTAGAAAAGGCAAATTCCTGGATTATTAAAAGGTAACTTCTAAAAATTACATGGAAATATTACAAGGAATATAATGATGACTAATTATTCACACATAACAGTATTCTTTTAATGTAACGGAAATGAAAAATAACGTACTTTAGGAAATTTTTCAGAAGCATTTTTAATTAAGGGAAAAAGCAATTATCCAGACAATCTCTAAGCAATGTCCAGCTAGTAAGGTTACATGCATTTTTAATCAATAAACACACAAAGTAACACATGACTCAAGAAAAAAAAATCTTTCTGAAGTGACCCAAAAATCAACATTAATACACATCTGCACATCCCTGTTTGACGGTCATACCTATTAAGATTTTAAAATATTATTCATATTGACAAGTATAACAGAGTAAGATTTTTCTTTAATTTTAACTCAGTTGTATTAAAATGTAGTAATCATTATCCTGGACTGTTGACACTCATTTTCTTTAGTCTATGAGTGGTCTTTTCTTTAGTTGATTGGCTGTTTTTAATAATATTCCAATAAGCAATACAAAAACCATCACCCAGATAGTACGGCAGGGCCTTGCCAATCCCTCCCACGTGACCGTACAGAGAGCTGACCTCCACCGAGAAAGCCACTGGCCCGAAGCCCTGTGCAGCCTTTTTAGTTTTATTTTGATATGTCAAAATATAGACATACATGATTATATGCTTCTATTTAACAGTGGTTCATATTCATCCATCTATCTTAAAGGTTTAGATTTTAAATGGTATATATTCTGTGATATTGGGGAACTTCTTTGAGAACCAGTCAATATTGCTGTGTTTTATAGCTATATGGCTGCTATATAATAGTCCACTATATTTATTTATTTATTTATTTATTTATTTATTTATTTATTTATTTATTTATTTATTTATTTATTTATTTATCCTTCTCTTGCCAAAGCCTATTTATTCATCTCTCTACCACAGAAGAGTACTGAGCTTATTTCTACAATTCTACTATGTGCTACTTGAACATTTTATACATAAGATTTTTCTCTTGATAAACTCTGATGAGTTAGTTGAATTGCCAAGTTACGGTACATGTGAATGCTCAATTTCAGGTGCCAGTTGTTTTCTAAAGATAATTTGTGATGCTAACACAACTAGAAAGCTTGTGAATTATACAGTATCTAGGACTTGCAAAATATACACATTTCTTCTCCAAGAAGTACTTACATCGTTTGGAAATTTTTATTGGATTGGTAGTGTTGTTCTTATTTATGCATGGACATAAAAAATCAATTATTTCCATAATAATCTAGAAAATAGGATAAATATGTCCTGATTGCTAACTTTATAAAGCATATATTTTTGACTACCAAATCACAATAAATTTCCTTTCTTTAAGAATTAGATCCAAAGCCGGGCGGTGGTGGCGCACGCCTTTAATCCCAGCACTCGGGAGGCAGAGCCAGGCGGATCTCTGTGAGTTCGAGGCCAGCCTGGTCTCCAAAGTGAGTTCCAGGAAAGGCGCAAAGCTACACAGAGAAACCCTGTCTCGAAAAACCAAAAAAAAAAAAAAAAAAGAATTAGATCCAAATACTATCCATACATTTCAATTGGTTGATCTGTCTGTATAAATAGACTAGATAGTGTAACTGTAATTCTTGCTTGATAATTGTTTTGTTATCTGTAATTTTACTATGTGAAAGTTAAAATCTTGCTTTTTGAAAAAAATAAAAGGGGAAGTGCTGTGAGATGTTCTGTATGTTAAATGTGTTACTCTGATTGGTTAATAAATAAAACAGTGATTGGCCAGTAGCCAGGCAGGAACTATAGGCAGGACAAGGAGAAAGGAGAATTCTGGGAAGTGGAAGGCTGAGTTAGGGAGACATCACCAGCTGCTGCCATGAAAAGCGAGATGTAAGGTACCGGTAAGCCATGAGCCACATGGCAACTTATAGACTAATAGATATGGGTTAATTTAAGATATAAGAACTAGATAACAAGAAGCCTGATGCAGCCATACAGTTTGTAAGCAGTATAAGTCTCTGTGTGTTTATTTGATTGGGTCATAGTTTGCTTGCTTTTTCCAAAGGAAATCAGTTGGTTTGCCCTCAAGAGGATACCTTTAATTTTGCCCACATCTCCTGACTGTTAAGAGTTGGAGAACTAAGCCAGGTGGTGGTGGCACATGTCTTTAATCCCAGCACTCAGAAGGCAGAGCCAGGTGGATCTCTGAGTTCGAGGCCAGCCTGGTTTACAGAGAGATATCCAGGACAGGCACCAACACTACACAGAGAAACCCTGTCTCAAAAAAACAAAAACAAAAAAGTTGGAGAACTGATCAGATTTCCATCTCATTTGTTTACCTTAAAGACTACCTCATACTGTGAGCCTCCTGCCACAGAAACAATGACTCACTTTCTAAAATACAAGTAGTCATTGCTGCTTAGAGGGTAGATTCATCAATTCATTAATTGAGTATTAAATTACATCTTTTTTATGTATGTGGACATTTTGTCTGCATGTATATCTGCACACCAGCAGAGGGCATCAGAGTCCACAGCACTACAGTTACCAGACAGTTATGAGCCAACATGTAGTTGCTGAGAATTGAACCCAGGACCTCTGGAAGAGCAGCCAGTACTCTTAACAACTGTGCCATCTCTCCAGCCCTTTCAATAAATCTTAAGTGTTGAATATTTAAACATCCTAGCAATAAACTGTGGTGCAAGGAAATTTTCAGTTCAATCTTCCTTAGAATCATAAGTTCAAGATCGCTACCTAACAAGTTCAAGGCCATCTTAGGATACATAGTAGACCCTGCCTCAAAACAAACAAGCAAAGGAAACCAAACAAAAACCTGTACCATACACTATTGTAACACAATACCACACAGTGATCTCCTTGCTAACTCTCTCTCATTCTAAACCATCATTTTCCTCACTGCTATTGTTTATACTTGGGGTATAGATACCACCTATGTATGATATCTGTCTAACAGATAGCCTCTAGGTTCCTAGACTTCTATATTTCTAATTATCTTTCCTCCCACTACACACAGTCAACATCTCCATGGTCATAGATTTTCTAAGATTAACTCCCCCAATTATGTACTGAATTCTATCCCCATACCTGCTAAGGAACTTGGCTTCTACAAATAGTCCCACTTTCTCCTGCATCTATAGTTCCTTCTTGATTTAATCATTCTGTATTGTGGTACACAAACATCTATAACATTACCCATCTTTAAAAACACCCCCTTTAAGCCGGGCGGTGGTGGCGCACGCCTTTAATCCCAGCACTCGGGAGGCAGAGCCAGGCGGATCTCTGTGAGTTCGAGGCC